AAGAATTAGCTCATGGTCCACATAATCGCACAGGAGAAATCTATGAATAAACCACATATATGTTTTTTATGATCTAGTGCAGCCACAATATGTTCTACAAAACTATACAATGCACTTTCTGTGCTTCTTTTATTAATAAATCCATGCTGACCAGCCGATATAAAATTATTTTTGCTACAAAAATCAACTAGTTGATTCTTCATGTTGAGTTCAAACACCTTAGATATACTTGAAAGCAAGCTGATGTCTCTATAATTGGCATATTCATTTGGATCATTCCGTTTGTAGATAGGTATAACCAAGGCTTGTTTCAAACAACTTGGAAAAGTTCCCTGTTCACTAGAAAGATTAATTAGGTATGCTAATGGCGAACAGATCTCCACGATACATTTCTTGAGCAAATTATTCGAAATTAAGTCAAAACCACTCGGGTTAGAGTTTTTCAACTGAGAAACCAGATAGCACATATCACTCTCTGTAACTGGTGACAAATACATCGACTTAGAAAGCATTTTAATCGTAGTACTGGAAAAGTTCTTATCGGCAGTATGGTTTTTCACATCTAATGTAAAATGCTCATTAAATTTGGTTGCTAAAATTTGATCTGGTACTTGTTCACCATCCTTAGTTATATTTATAGTTTCCTTAAGATCTTTTTTTGTATGTTACACTGATCAACAGCCAAAAAATATCCTAAATAAAATCAACAAAATATCACTATTTTTAATGTGCTAAAACCGGAATGAAACTTATTTTTTCAATATTAGTTCAAGTTTTAGAGATAGGGTAATTATATGTGTTCCTGCTGTGACAGTGTTAATATACTGTAATTCACAAGAATGCACGTGCTACATTTTTATATTCGGCAAGGAAAGATGATGTAATCGGCATGATTGTGTTACGTTATACATACGTTTACATTATATTGTTTTATATTAGCCATTTTTTCCTCAGTTGGCTAACAGCGTTCATGCAAGATGTCTCGAAAGTGTGTAAACAATCCAGATCAGTTTTGTTACGTGTGTGGTGATGTGACTTTTGCGTCTCAGAGACGGTCTATTACTCCACTAATAACAAAGGCATATCAGCTTTATTTCGGTTGTAAACTAGGTGATCAAGACAAACAGTGGGCACCCCACATCTGCTGTAATACATGTTCTTCAAGTTTGAGGAGCTGGTTAAATGGCAAAAAACGGTCTATGCGCTTTGCTGTCCCAATGGTTTGGAGAGAGCCTACAAATCATATTAATGATTGTTACTTTTGCATGGTACCTTGTGTTGGACAAGCCACAGGTATGTCCAAGAAAAAAAAATCGGTTATTAACTACCCAAACATACCATCTGCGATGAGACCTGTGCCTCACAGTGACGAAAATCCTATTCCAAAACCCCCAGAATCCTACACTTGCGAATCAGAAAACGAATCAGATCATGGCGATCGAGTGATTCGTCAGGAAGAAGATATGCCATCAACGTCAAGAGATCCTGATTTTATACCGAGCACGTCATGTCACCAACCGCACAAAACAACCCAGTCAGAATTGAATGATCTTGTAAGAGATTTAGAACTTCCAAAATGTAAGGCAGAGTTACTTGGATCAAAACTGCAGCAGTGGAACTTGTTAGAAGACGATGTTTCGGTATGTGTTTTTTGTAAACGCCACAAAGACTTAGAACCATTTTTCAATATGGAGAATAACTTTGTTTTCTGCAGTATTGTTTATAGACAGTTCAACATTGAGTTTAAAGGCAGTGTTATTGCATATTGGAAATATTCTACCATCTCTTCCTGTAGGGTATGCAGTTCACATGAAAGAATCATATGACAATATGAAGTACCTATTGACATGCATAAAATGCGATGAGCACCAATGGCATATTTGTGGCGATTTGAAAGTTGTTGCACTTTTACTTGGGCTGCAGCTAGGCTACACAAAGTTTTGCTGTTTTTTGTGTGAATGGGACAGTCGGGCAAAGGCACTTCATTACACCAGACAAAACTGGCCTGTTCGTCAATTCCTAGAGCCAGGTCAAAAAAATGTACAGCATATGCCATTAGTAGATTCGAAAAAAAATTTATTACCACCACTGCATATCAAGTTGGGCCTAATGAAAAACTTTGTCAAGGCATTAGATAGAGATGGGTCAGCTTTTCAATACCTGCGTCAGAAATTTCCAAGACTAAGTGAGGCAAAGGTTAAAGAAGGTATTTTTGTTGGGCCACAGATTCGAAATATTTTGAAAGATACACAGTTTGAAAACACTTTAACAGGTATTGAAAAAACTGCTTGGAATGATTTCCGTCTGGTGGTCACTAATTTCTTGGGAAATAGAAAAGCTGACAACTATAAAACCCTTGTCAAAAATATGCTGTCATCGTATCAAAAGATATATATCATAGTAATATGTCTCTTAAGATACATTTCCTACACTCACACCTGGACTTTTTTCCTGACAATTGCGGAGCCGTAAGTGATGAGCACGGCGAACGTTTTCATCAGGATATTTCAACAATGGAAAAAAGGTACCAGGGAAAGTGGAAGCCTTCCATGCAGACTACTGTTGGACTGTTGGTAGAGATGCTCCAGAAACGATCCATAAAAGAACAGCAAAAAGACAGCGCATATAGTGATTCTTATAAGTATATGAATCTTGTTACTTTTTTTAATATATCCTTAAAAATGAAAAGCTTTTTGTCTAAACCGCAACTAATTTTTTTATTTCATTGTCATTTTTGGATTCAGCGCCCCAAAATTAACAAAGAAGTGCACTTTTCCCACAAGATACAATTAAAAAACTAAAATTTGTTGTCCGGTGTAATCTTCCACATACATTTACTACGATTGCTTGAGGAATCGATTCTAGAATCTATACATTGTTGCCTATATTTACTAAGTTGTTCTCTATAAGTTTTTGTAACTTGTTTACTAAGTTCTTTGTACCTGCTATCAGCCTTTGCCAAAGAATGACATAACGTAACTCTGTCTCTCAGTTCTACTAACTCGATTGGCAGAACCACTTTCTTCCGTCTTTCAAGGCGTATTCTTCTATAAGGAAATGAAACATTGAAATGATACAAGAGGATGTTAAAGAATGTATCACAAGCTTTCCGTAGAAAACTGTTGGTACATTTCCAACCAGCTTTCTTGACTCAATTTTAGTGTGAAGTTTTGTATATTCTGTTCAGAAAGGTCTCGAATATTTGAATACTTATTCGCTTCGTTCCACTGCACTTTAGATACCCGGATATTGAGGATTATACAGTAATGGTCAGACAAACACTGATCCACAACAGATACATTAAAATCGTTATCAAAATCCACTAAGAAATTATCCAAACAGCTGTTGGAGTAAGTTGTAACTCTAGTGATATTTGATAAAAAGTCTACATTAAAATCGCCACCAATCACAACTCGACTATTATTGATGTCAGTGAAATTGAGCAGTCCATTCAGTAGATTTAAAAATACATAAAAGTTACCAGATATGTAGTTCCTACAGCTTGTAAACATAAGCTTTCTTCATTTTCCAAACGTACGGTCATCTTGAAGTGGATATGCTAAAGGAGATGACACCGGCGGTGACTGTACACGCAAGGTACAAAATAACTTGTTCATAGCATGAGGCTTCATACCAGGACAGCTTTGAAGCTAAAACAACCTCGCTGAATCTTCCTAGGAATATTCTAAACGAACAAAAAGGTTAGTTATGACTCATAGAGATCTTTGCATAGCTCAAGGGTGCACCTTAGCTAAGATCTGCTCAAGCTATCCAAAATTTGATTTGACAGATTTGAGGACTACCGGATGTGCCATTGGGATTCTTCAACGAATAACCCCATGTTAGTCACAACCGATCAACAAAATTTCACAGGAATATGAGGACAATTTACTATTATTATAGGTATAATATAATGGTACTTGAAAATTATATAAAAAAATGTAGTGCTTGTAGAACAGTTGTGTCCAGCAAGAACCAACGAGGAGGTCTGAGGTAAGCTCTTGCCAGAAAAGGAATAAGGAAGATGAGGAGGAAAAAGTGTAGGATAAATGATAAGAAAAACAGATAAAATCAAAGTAAAATAAACAACAGAAAAAACAACAGAGATTAACGAAAACTTAATAAAAACTCTTAGAACAAACAAGTAACAGCACAAAATAATAACAAAAATTAGAAAACAGAAAACAAGTAACAAAAATAACAAAAATTAGAATAACGAAAATTAAAGTGCTAAATTCTGAATATGTACAAATAAATATTTGCGCTTGCAAAGATGTCATTCCTTTTGGCACAATAATTTTTCAAAAATGTATTGACTGTGCAAATAACAATTAGTTTTATAACATAATCTGGTGAATGGACTGTGCAACGCGAAAATGAAGTGTCGTGATTATTATCACTCAGATTATTAATTATGTACTGTACTCTTATCAGTGATTTCTAAAAATGATTCCTCGTCACTTTCCAAAACTTTATTGAAAATTATATAACTTAGCATGACAATATTAATAACTGGATCCTTTGGGAATTTTAAGCCACCTCTACTCAAATTCTGTGTGCTTGTCTTTTATATCAATATCATCTGTGTGTGTCAAATTTTCCTTACAATGATCGCAGTGATTTTTCTTTAATAAGGCATAACAACAGTAACCAGCTAAGTAGGTGATGACAGGGATTTCATCCTTTATACTATCAATATCAGACTATAAAATTTCAATTTCCCGGAAAAAGTGGCAATCATTAAAATTGTGTGGAATTTCACCTATTTCTAAATCATAATTTTCACAGAATTTATCTATTTGTATATCACCATAGCGAGACTTCAATGACATCAGGCTTTGAGTTCGTAACTTTTTCTCAGATTCATACAACGATGCATTCTCAGAAAGAACATGCAGAACATCATCCAAGTGGTGTATATTAGATAATAAAAATGGAGTTTTAATATTACCTGAGTTGAGTAACAATTCTTGGGAGTACATATACGTTTTTACATTGAGATCTTTATCAACAATTACAGAGTGAGTTATGATGGGTGCTGGTTTATATTATAACTCAAACAAAGTAACTTGATCCTGAACAATTTTATGCCACCCATATGGACATTGCCATGAAATGAAAACTGTGAGAAGGTCTGAATAATTTTGAAAACAAGTTGATTTTTGATAGGAGGAATAATCATCAATGCTAGTTTGCAGTGCTTTAAGTAGTTGTTCTTGTTCATTGTCCCTCAACTTCTCATCTCGGCTTCTTCTGCTTGATATGTCCTTTGAAAGGTATTTTAGACAATTTACAAAGATACTTGGAATTACATCTGCCTTTAATTTAGAATACTTAGTAATGGTCCTACCTGTCTTTTCGTCATGGAAGGTGGATTCCCAAATGTTGCTATCCTCAGCAAAGTGCAAATTGCATACTCGGGTGTATTTTGTAACCACTAAATCACTACGACGGATTGCATTGAGTCATCTTTTACGACAGTTTTCGTTCAATGGAAACGAAAATACGTGTACCCTCGGACCCTTCCCGTAATTACCGACACAATTAGGAACGCAGTAGTTGTAAGGCATTTTGAAAAGTTAGCTAAACAATCGCGAGACACAAATATAAGTTTAAAACATCAATAATGTTCAGTTTACATAGCATAGAAAGATGAGGCTCAGATTGTGAGGTTAATTGGCAAGGTTGCCACATATTCCAATTTTGAATGGAATATTAGACTTCACAAGTGACAGATTTTAACGTAATATCGAAAATGTATTCTTGACATACTGAGGCAGACCAGAAAGAATAATCACATCATCACTGAAGCTGCGCAGGCCTCGAGTACATCTTGCAAATTCGCCCACAGAGAGGTACAACTAATTAGTACAGATTTCGATACTGCAATATCAAACCTAGATATGACAACACCCCAGAGAAATGGTGGCGCGGTTCTCTTGCCAGCCAGTCATCGCGAAACTCCATAAGAACATGCATAGGCCTACTATGCGTGACGTCACAGGCTTTTCAGACCCCGGTTGTTTAGCCTTGTACTCTCGGTGGTAACGACGCGGATCGGAACCGTCCGGAAGACATACCTGCAAACGACCAAGGCACACAGACCTCTTCTGAATCTGGCCTACTTGATAACATAGCATCTACGTCTACTGTCAAAGAAAGAAAGCAAAGGCAGCAGTGGACTAAGGAGCAGTATAAGGATATAATATGGTGGTACTACTATGCAGATTATATTCAACTGGAACGTGGAGTTATCAAGGGTTCATATTCAATATGGAGACGCAAGAATCCAGATATATTCCCCAACGTCAATCCAAATACTCTCGCCAATCAACGTCGCTATATTCTAAGGAAAAGAAAGTTGACCGAGCCAGAACTTGAACGAATAAAGGAATGTGTCCATGAAGAGCTTAGAATACATTCAGATGCTCAAACACCACAAAGAGAGACTATAATCGAACAGAGCTCTACAGAACAACTAGCACCAATTCAATCGAACAACGAGATGACAGTGAATCGGCGGAAATAATAATGAAGAGCAAAATATTACTAAAGTTTGACACAATCAACGGCCTTGAGTTTGAACAATGGAACAGACTCCCGCTCGTTGGTCTAACCCCGACATTGAAGCATGAAATATCAGTAGCTAATAAGGCGCTAAAGATGATATCACAAGAGAAGATGCCCAACCAAACCGATATCAACGGACTTATGTATTCCACAGCAAGTGTCCTAACTGGCGAACTAAAGACAAGGCAGAGGGCAGACATTAATACAGTGAAAAAATTCTATAGAGTCATATCGAAATGACTTGTCTATCATCCATGAGTACAAAAGAGTAGGTGCCTCCTAGAAGGTCAGACATAAATTCAACTCCTTGAAGAGTGCCTATAATTGACATATGAGCCTGCAAGAACTGGAAGCACACATTAAGATGAAAATCGCAGCAAAAACACAACGTCTCACCGGGTATACCAAGAGGAGTAACCATTACCATCATAACAAAATGTTCAACAAAGACACCAAAAAATTCTACAGACAGCTTAACAGCCAAAACAGGGAGGTACTGAATCCTCCGCTACGAGCTCAACTTGAAACCTTCTGGAGGGGTATCCTTGAACATGAAGTTCACCATAAGCCCGCCCCATGGATTGAACGTGAGAGGAATGACTCTGAAAACATTGAGCCCATAACCTGGCAACAGCTTTCGATGGAAGAAATACAACAAGCAGTAAACGAAACGCAGAACTGGAAGTCCCCGGGACCTGACAAATTATCAAACGTTTGGCTCAAACAACTAACAGCGCTGCATGAAGACCTAACTCGAGCGATACACGAAATACTGGTTAACTCTAAGAGTATTCCAAGCTGGCTAACAGCTGGAACAACTTACCTTTTACCGAAAGGAGCAGACACGCAGGACGCTGAGAATTATAGGCCTATTACATGTTTGCCAACGATGTATGTTATAAGCTTATAACATCTGCTTTAGCAGTTCGCAGGTACACCCATTTGACTGGAAACAACATACTGCCAGAGGAACAAAAAGGGTGTCGTAAATCGTCGAGAGGGTATAAAGATCAGCTACTGATCAGCAAAATGGTGTAAAAAAACGTATACGAAATCTTGGAATAGGATGGGTGGACTATCAAAAAGCCTTTGATAGTGTACCACACTCCTGGATCGCTGAGGCGATGAAGATATACTGCGTGTCACCGTCAATAACTAAATTTGTTGAAAGGTCAACGCAAATATGGAGGACTAAAATGGCGTTATTCCACCGACAAGGCCAAATTGAAACAGGAGAGATAGCAATCAAACGGGGTATTTTCCAGGGCGATTCACTATCGCCATTGTTATTTTGCCTTGCATTAATACCTCTCAGTAACGTCTTGAACCGTGAAGGTGTAGGGTTCACTGTCGACCAATCAACTCGGGTTAGCCACCTGTTGTATATGGATGATCTGAAGATATTCGCCAAGGATGAGGCACAACTAAACCGAGCTTTCACTCTTGTCAAGGAGTTCAGTGATACCATAGAAATGGAATTTGGTTTAGATAAACGTGCCGCCGTAATATACAGCAGAGGAAAAATGGTGAAGAGCCAGGACATCAGGCTAAATAACGATACATCCATAAGAAACTTAGACATAGGAGAATCGTACAAGTACCTTGGTATTGAGGAGAAAGATGGGATTGATAATGAAAGAATGAAGAGCAGAGTAACTAAAGAGTTCGCCAAATCCTGAAGACAGAGTTGAGCTCTAAAAATAAGCTTTCTGCTATCAACGCACTAGCTGTACCTGTGGTAACATATAGTATTGGGATAGTTGACTGGCTGAGATCAGACGTTGAGAAAATCGACTGGAAAACGCGAAAGATCCTTACCATGGGCAAAATTCATCATCCTAAAGCTGATATTCAGAGGTTGTATATCAGAAGGCGTGAAGGCGGGAGAGGACTGATAGATCTTGAGTCTGCTTTCAACTCGGAGATGGTTCAGCTGAGCGAATATATAAGATCCAGTAACGATAAACTTCTGAAAGCTGTCAGGCATCATGATGAGGAAAAACTGAAATACTCGCTTCACAGAGAGGCTATAAAAATCAAAGCTAAGTATCTCAACTCTGATGTGTTCGGTCAAAACATAAAAGACATGATGCGCTTTAAGGGGCCGTTCAAGTATTACGTAAGCAGATTTATTACAATTATTTACCCCCCATCCCCCTTGTCAGTAAAAGTAAGCAAAGCTATTAACCCCTCCCCCCATGCTTACGTAAACATTTGTCAATTAATGTACTGTTTTTTTAATATTATAATTATAACGTTATAATTATAATTTGGAAAAAATAAGAAAATAGATTTAGGATAGAGATTATATTTTACTGATACGATATTCAATATAGAGTAAAGGACAAAAATATTATATCTTACTAAAATAACAAGCTTATTTTAAATTTTTGGTGCATATATTAAATTCAAATTAAGTCTTCAGTCCATGAAACCCGAATCCATGATTCTAAGTTTTCGATGACATTGGATTGCTTCGATCGCTGCTCAGTGTTGTGAGTTTGCTCGTTTTCATCGGATTTTGGAATGTCTACGTCGTTCTCATCGAGCCATTCAACATCATGGTACTCTAAATTTTGAATAATGCACATCAGTTCATTAGCACGACGAGCAGCGACTCTTACAGGTCTAACTTTCCTATCAGTGTGCGTGTTTACTTTTTTATGGATATTTTCGATGTGACGATTTAGTGACTTGACGGAAGCATGATAAAGACCACACGTTTTGCATGTTCGACTTGATAGCTTCAATTTTGCCATCGCGTCGGAGAAAAATAATCGTAGGGCATTTGCAGGAAATCTTTGAGTGAAGAACTTAAGCGTAGAGCAAAATTGACTGGAAGATTGAGAAATTTCCCTCCTTCATTCAAAACCAGGTCATCAACTGTTTGTTTTACTTTTACAGGCTGTGGAAGAATCCTACCGACATATTTTGCATTAACATTATAGCCATCAATTTCCATTGAACTCCATACTTCAGCTATTATCTTTCCTGCAAATTCTATATTAGATCTTTCTAAATGTTCATCAATTGTAACGCCACGTTCATCCAAATGAGACCCAAAATGGTCGTGAGGCAATATTAAACCAGCCAGTTCCCGACTAAGAGGAGCAATTCTGCGCTCTACTCTGTTATAGGCACTTCTTCCAGGAGCATTGGTAGCTAAAAACAATGCATCGAGATCATGTCGCTCAAAGTGTTGTATAGCAAACCCTATGACTTTTTGATAACGTGGATTTTCATCTGGCCCTCCATCAACCGTCATGATTACCACTGGTTTTACTAGTCCATGGTCAGTTTTAGCTAATGGTCGAAACTCTTCAAGTTCGAGAAGCGTCTCGAAATCCTGAGCATGAGTATTAGAAGTAGATGAACTATGCTTTCCACTTCGAATAGCGATGTATGTTGGTCCAGAATATCCAACGGCTTGCGGTTGTCCTAGCATATTGGAAGTGATTTTGATACCAGCATAAACAGATGGTATTAATTTATCACGCTCAGCGATTACCCAATCGTGATCAGGCAATTTGATTCTATATTCCATGTGCATTAGAAGAGGTGCTTGCTTATTTGCCGCAGTTACGCCAATAGGGACTCGAGCTTTATCATCTTGAGATATGAAAAATACTTGATCTGGTCCAAGTATGGATGCTATGTTCTCTAAATAATGGATTGATGTTTCAGCGAACTTGCTATCTAAGTGGCTCTTGTGGTGATCAGTTTTTTTTTCTGGATTTTCATGACAAATATCTTTTAACATTATTTTCATACCATCCCTGTGTTTCTTCTGGACAACTGCGTTTTGAACCTTCCTGTTTAAAGACTGTTTTGCTTATTTAAACATTAAACTTTGGTCAAGCAGAAGAGCATATCAGTCACGTAATAGCAGGTTTGCAAGGTTCTGGCGCCCAGCGAGTACATGCACAGGCATAACAACGTCGCTAG